TTCCTGCCTTTACATCCGCCTGCTTTGAGCTTTGATGAAACGGGGCTGCTGATTACTCGAGCTCGCTTGCATTGTCACTGATGTGTCTTTGGAGGATGGATTGAAGGGATCATCCTTTTCTCTCCCTCCCCTCTCTCTATATGATCTATGGGCATCCTCGGGAGGTAAAGCCTAGGATTTGAGGGTACTGTCAAATGGCTAAACAGGGTTTCAGCTGTGCCATCCTTCCCCCGCCTCATGCAGGAGCGCGATGATGTGCTGTGGTTTAAACCGCAGCTTCTTTGAAGTCACTCCAGACCTCCAACACCCACCAAGATGTCTCTGCACACAAACATGGCCGCCGCCTTCTCCCTGCTGTCCCTGTGCTTAGAGATTTGGCTCCTTCCCATAAACCTTCCGCTTCCAACTGCACACACACATGCAAGCACACACATGCTTTATTAAGCAGTAAAACTCTTGCAGATTTTGTTTGCACCGGGTATTGACACAGCAAACTGTTTGTATTGCTCCTCGGTCTCCATAAATGACGGAACAAAATCCCCCCCCCCCCCCCCTCCCAAAGAACCTCTTTAATAGTCGCATGAGTAACTTATTTACTCATCCACCCGTGGATGATGTTTGGCCAGAGACAATGTGAGCATAAAGTAAGAGTCACTGAGGGATATCAGCTGGCTCAGGGACAGCTTGATACTCACATTTTTTCCTCCAGTCTCGTTGTTCTAGGGTAGCTGACAACCTTGATAATCTCTGCTTAAGTGTGGTGCATGATTTACTTAAGGAACCTTTGGCACCCAGTAATCTTTACACTCAGGTTACAGCATTAATGACTGTTCGATAACATTCTTTCATGGAAGCACACAGATAGAGTGTGTTGTGGTTTTACTGCTGGCTATTGAGAGGACTGAGGGTATTTTCTTCAATGGAGCATGACGGCATGTGTGAGAGGGGAAAAAGGAAGCTACCCAGGGTCAGATCAATGCTGGGCCGAGTGCGTGGCCTGGATCCTCTTTGGCACCATCGTGATGCCTGCTGACTTGAATGGTTTGAGGTTTGGTGGAGCTTGGCTGACTGGGCCCAGTCCACATCCCACATGCCTGTTCTGGACATTCATCTGCATTACCGTGCGTCACTATCGCAGGGCCGCCCGGCCATCCTGGGCTCTCCTGTCGGTGGGAGTCACTGCTGGCCACAAGTGAAACAGAGCGTGCAACACTAACCCTAACCTTGACTCCACTCTGCTATACAAGCTACTGAATCGACAGTTGGAAATGTGCTGTCTGTGTCTTAATATGTGTGTTTTTGTTTATCTTTGCATATGTATGTGCGCTTGTCTGAGTGTGTGTGTGTGTGTGTGTGTCTTTGTGTGTGTGTGTGTGTTTACCTTTTTTTGCATTGCCTTACTATGCCAGTTTTCGGTATTTCAATCACCTAGGTAAACTATTTCAAAGCAGGTTGCACAAAGCATGACAAGATACTTGATAACATCAAAGCTCAGACAGAAGAGCCCAGCAGCTCATTAACATGTGACTCCTGGAGCTCGCCTCACCTTAAAGCGACAGCGCAACGTAGGTCAGCTGACCTAGAGGGAAGCGCCCAGGCTGGTGGCAACAAAGGCGTGGGAGAGAGGGGCTGCTGTCCACGGCTGTGGGCATAGCGACAGCTTGCTGAAGAAGCTGCACAAGAAACACCTTGTAAACAAGGACAAGCAGGAGGGCAGTTGTCTTAACATGATTGTTAACTTTTGGTGTGTGATGGTATGGTGGTGCAGTAGCCCTGTAACCTCTTGTTTCCCACTCTGGACTTTGCTTGTTCTCTCTGTGTTTATGGAGGTTCCCTCTTGGGGTCCAAAACCATGCGATTTGGTAAACTGGTGACGTGCAGTTGCCTGCAGTGTGTGATTGTCTGTACAAAGCCATGTACTGCCATCCCGCCCAGGGTGTCCCCTCCCTTGTGCCCTGTGATGGACTGGCCTACTGCCATGGGACTGACTACAGTTATTGATTAATGGATCAATATGCGGTCAGATTAGATGCGGGTTTCACTTCCTCTGCTGTCCATATTTGTGGCTCTGTGTTTGTGATCATTGTTCTGCATAGACACAAAATGTCTTTGTCTAACCTGTAAAGTCTGATAGAATCTTCTGTGTTGTATGTAGAGGTTTCCCTGAGCTTCATGTGTGAGAAACACATTTGCTACTTATTTTCATTTTTGGAACAGGTAAAAGAAAAATCGATACAACTTCATTTACTTAAGAAGCGCTCTCTATTGAAATTTTGCCTGCAGTATTGTTTCACATAGTAACCGTTTGGTCATTTCTAATAAATGATTGTAACATTATAGAAAACTTTTAACACAGCGCTTTTATCGGACAGCAAAAAGGAACCAATGGGTGCAGAGTGTCAGATCATAATATAATTGAATGGTCCTCAATGACCATTATGAATGAATCATCTGAATCATTATGAATCATCTGTCTGTCTAGCTCTCATTGGCTGGACTGGAACATTTTGCCCACCTTGGGGCTATGAAGTGTGCATTTGAAAATGGAATGGAAGCCCCTTGGAAGAGGTTTGGATTGGTATAGGATCTGGTTAATAGTGCCAAGGATGGATTAATGTTCTGAATCGGTAGGCTTTAGACCCGTGGCAGTAGAGTCCTAGTCTGGGCTGGGCGCTGAGAGTGATCATAATAGTCGGGCAGAGGGGGTGAGAGAAATCTGGGGTATTGATGTAGACGATGCAGCTCCTTCCTCTAAGTTAATGCACTAATACTATTTCCTAGGACAGGATCTCTTGTTCTGGCGGACAGCTACAAGAGCTCTTAGTGGTGCTGGCTCTTAGACGCTCCAGCGCTGCAAAGACTGCTGATGAAAAGCTTTCTGTTTTTGATTTTTTATTTTACTTTTTCTGCATTTCTCTTAAGCGCCTAAATAAATATGAACTTGAGTAGCGTGAGTGTTACGGAAGAGCGCGGTGATGATGGGAGTGTCCACAGACACCAAATAGCAATGTTTACGCTGGAATTAACAGAGCTGTGTGAGTAAATGGACCTGTAGAACAGAGCGTAGGAGCGGATTCTCAGTCTCATCATGCTGGTGTCACGCGTATTGAAATACAGAATTTGCGTGCCTTTCTTTGCATGACTGTGTCACATGTCTAAGTACTTGCTGTATTCCACTGCATCTGCAGCGCTGAATTGTATGTTAACTCATGTTAGCTCATGCGCTATTCCACTTTCCTGCATCAGTAGCATGGAGATGCGTGTTAGCCCCATGTTAGCCCATGTTTGCTCATGCGCTGGCCCACCTTCCTGTATCAGTAGCATGGAGATGCGTGTTAGCCCCATGTTAGCCCATGTTAGCTCATGATCTGGCCCACATTCCTGCATCAGTAGCATGGAGATGCATGTTAGCCCATATTAGCCTAGGATCTGGGCTGTCATGGAGGCCTGCTGGGTGTGTTTGCTATGCTGTCAGGCCGCTGATCACAGGCACAGCCAGCTGTCAGGGCCACGGGGGTGACATGCCCCTCGGGCAGGCATTTGCATTTCATCCCTGGCCCGCACTCCTCATAATCCCCCCCTCCATCCCCTTCTGAGTATCCTCCGCCTCCCCTACTCTCACAGGCCCCTAGCAAGATCAATACCCACATCAAAGGTTATGTGGAGGTAGCCACATTCTTTGAAGCTGTTTGCCCAGGTCTGGGTTTGCTGAGCTAACACTGGCTGGGAACCTTGTCCAATACCCATGTTTGCCTAGAATTACCTCTGTTTGCGGAAACACCTAGTAGATTCTAATAGAGAGCAGGCTTTTCATCCCCCCTTTTCTTTTTTTTTTTGAGCGGTTGAATCCTTGAGCCAATCCGCGGTGCCAATAGCTTTACTGATCCGGTGTGTTCTGCCTGTCCTGCCAAGTCCAATATTTACCTAACGTTTCATTGGCCGAGGCTCCTTGAAAACAGTTATAAAAAAAGGTGTAGTTTCTCAATAAGGGCACAATAAAGCATGTCTGTTGGACTGTGCCAAGTGCAAGCAAACTGGATAATTACAGGGGGCGGTGGAGGGAGCGATAGCAAACAATGTAATTATTGTTATTGGTGTGCTTTTACGGCATGTCATTCACACGCTGGTGTGGCTCCTCCTGCTACCTATGGGTTCCTGGTGACGTGGACCTCCTTTCGGAACCTTCGCCCTCCGGAACCATATAGGAGTAGCATTTGCTGATTGGTCGACAAAAGAGTCACATCGGACCCTGAACAGAACATCCGTTGCTGTGAGAAGCGGGCTCCCTCTTTGTAGGAAACGACGAGGCTCTGGCTGCCAAACCCCCCCCCCCCACCACCCGCATGCTGACCTGCATTCAGCTCCACTTCCCCCCGCTGCACTAATGTTCTGATCCTTAAATGAAATCATTAAACTGACCCAGGGGCAGCTTATACCAGATTCCAGGGAGTCCGCCTGAGGTTAATTTCTTAGGGGATAAAAACATTATCACCGTGGCACCAAGGACAGGACAGGCGAGGTGAAGGAGGAGCAGGACAGGAGGGGGTTAATGAGCTCTGCAGTCTTAGGGGGCGATGGCGGCAGCGAGATCAGAGAGCGCTTTGACGGCCAGCAGCGCTCCAGACCTGCGCTGTGTTACTCGGGCTGCTCCACTTTACATTCTACATGGTTGACTGGGACTGAAGTACATGGTGAAAACATAACCCAGAGCATTATAATGTGCCTCGAACATGAGGGTGGGGGGTGATGTGCTCATCCTGCAGATGGCAGTAGCATCCGCCACTAACAGCCAATCTGAATCTGGCCTCTGTGTTCCCTCAGTCTCCGACTGACTCACTTCCCTGGTGTCACAGTACCACAATGTTTGAAAGCAGTGAATAAACCTGAAACCACATCCCTGCTACATGCACAAAGACTAGCAGGCTTAGCGAAATTCACTTCTTACCTTACTAACGTATTGACGATGGACTGCAGTTGTTTTAATAACTGACAGCTTGGTTAGAAATAACAGATTTAATGATCTCACATACTGGCTGTTTTTGTGCAACCAAGAAACATGGATTTTGCTTGGCTGGAAAACATTTACTCTAAGGGCTTAAGTGGGCAAAGCAAATGACATAGACAGTCTTTTTGAAGAAGTTTCACTTCACAGCTGCTGCAGTTCACCTGTAGCCCCGGCTGCAGTTCCCCAGTTCCCAATTTCTCCCGGCTGCGGTTCCCAGTTTCCACTGGCTGTGGTTCCTCGTTTCCACTGGCTGTGGTTCCCCGTTTCCCCTGGCTGCAGTTCACCTGTTGCCCCCGCTGCAGTTCCTTAATTCTATTTCCCCCGGCTGTGGTTCCCCGTTTCCCCGGGCTGCGGTTCCCCGGTTTCCCCGGCCTCTTCCCCAGTTCCCCCGGCTGCAGTTCCTTTAGCAAAAGCAAAAGAAAAGGCAGAAATGAAAGACACTCCTGGTCGCTTTAGAACTTCAGTACAGACTGTAACGAAAGCTAAACTAAGATCTCTATGGCTCTCTCATTACATTATCTTTCATGAGTCATCAGTATATTTTTATATGCTAATTTGTGATAGGTCGTATGCCGGACCTCACGGGATCCCTTAACATTTCATAGCTAGTGATTGGCACCTGATAGGGGCCCCTGAATGTGGCGAGCGTGGCGTGAGGGTCTGTGCCACCAGTGCGTCATTAGGGCAGTAACCCTGTGCTGTTATCTCAATGTTGTTCTAATGCTGGTCAAACACCACTGTGAATGGCCTAACTCAACATTGGCAGCGTTTGGCTGGAGAGTCAATATTAGCAGAGCACACACAAGGGGGGGG